AAGTTGTTTTAAAGTTTCACATTGTTTATCAGTTCCTAACCTCATGATCAGATCCAAGAGTTTTGCAATTTTTGCAACGTGAACATTGAATCGAGGAAACGGGATTGATACAAGTACTACACTTATCAGTTGAGTAAGGCGCGACGAAAGTTTTTAATGCGACGAAGGTTTTAACGTGAAAATCGTGTTGGGGCAACTGGCCCCGTTTCCAGTGGAAACTTGTCGGCCTTCGACGACACTGGCAGTAAAGCGCGCGAACTTTGCAGGCGACGATATTGTTACCATTGAAAACTAGGAAAGAATGCCGTGGCAACACCGTAATTTTGAGTTCAAAACTTTGTCACCAAACCTCCGTCCCACTCCTTCTCGTCCTTTTCAGATTAGGTGGAAGAGAAAGTGTTACTGCCACCTATCGTCTTACCTTGGCGAAAGAGTGTTCTCTTTCATTCTTTCCGTGGTGACGACCAAGATTGATGGCGTCTCCATAAACTAAGCTGCCATCGATGTAGACCTTGCTTTCGCTTACAAAGCTAAGAACACAATAAAATTAACATTTTCTATGATTAAGCATAACAGGTGAATGATCATAATGGTTTCCCGGTTTGGTGCATGTGTCACAGTCCCAGTAACATTTGTTCATTCCATTTCATTTCTTATAAAACAATCGAAAATGCTAGTCCATCGCAGGGTTACCCCCAGCATTAATTATAAATTCGCCGGTACCCATTTGTACATAAGGGTGGAGAGAAATACTGTGAGAGTGAAGTGTCTTGTCGAAGAACACAACACCCCGGCCAGGGCTCGAACCTGGACCGCTCGATCCGGGGTCGAGCGCACTAACTATTTGGCCACCGCGCCTCCCGCCTACTTGTGGCCGCAGGAAATCCTTCAGGCCGAATGAGGGAATCGAGCTCAGTGACTAATAAATACGAAAATTCATGAGTTAATCCCTAGGTCTACATGCACTGAGCCGCGGACCGCCACGCAATCTTCCTCCCTCACAATATTTCAGCAGATTTCCGTTGGGGGTGGGGAGATTGGGCGACAAGCCCAAAGACCGTTTACGTATGAGTCTATAAGTAGGCGAGTAAAACAAGAAATTGGAGGACCCAGTGGCGGATCCAGACCTTGAGCTTAGGGAAAGGGGAGGCGGTTTTGTTTTGCTTTCCCTGCCGGCTTTTCTTCCAGCTGCGAAGCGGCGCGATTCTGACTGCATCACTTTGACGGCCAGACATTTCACAACTTTCTGGGTTTGGCGTACGTATTATGTAGTGGGAGGGGGATGACAAAAACAATGGCGTGCTTGGAGACGTTGCCATCCCTCCGATCGCGCTTCGCGCTGCTAAGCCATGCATGGTACATTACAATTACCATATATGACGTAACTACCTCTCCCAGCCACGACCACCGATAATCAAATTGGATTCGCTGGGCTGTGGACAAGAGGTGTTCGTCTATTAGCCAGCTACAAGGGGTACAAGAATACAAGATGAGGTTAAGTCCACGGGAATTGGAAGGACTACTGATTCATCAGACTGGCTTTTTGGCTCAGAAACGTCTTGCACGAGGCTTAAAACTGAATCTGCCGGAGGCTGTGGCTCTCATTGCATCACAGGTAAGGACAGCGCGTGTCAATGAAATGTGAGCGCGTGAAAGCCTGATCTGTTTAGCCGTGGGTGATCACTAAACAATAGTTTAGCTACTTGGTGGCAGTTTTCTACCGCAAAATTAAACGTTTGCATCAAAATCTTTAATGCGCGAGAAATTAATATTTAAGGAACGCGAGCGTAAGTTTGTTCAAGCCCGTGCATTCGTTTGCGTGATGG